AATGACACGGTAATAAAACATACTTATTTTATTTTAATTAATGTGGTAAGAAAACGTCATTTACAAAAACTGTCAATTTAAGTTCACAGCATAAAATTGGAAAGAAAAAAATTGCACATTTGCTTCCTAACTAATGCAATAAAATGGTTTTAAACCAGAAAACAGTTAAAGAAAGTCGGTCGGATTGGAAAAAAAAAACTAAAAAAAAAAAAATCACAAGAAGTCTCGGAATAGTAGGCCCTGGTACCCCACGACCACGTTAAAAGTTAACATTCACATATTTGGATTAACAAAAGGCACAATTATGTACTGTAAAAAGTGTTCATGTTTTTGTTCCTGTTGTTCTCTTTGCTGTTACTATGCTCATTTTTCAGATTAAAAGAATTATTTCAAGTGTAAAATGGTTTAACTACGTCGTTACTTTTTTTTTTCTAAATGCCAAAAATTTGGGTCGGGGGTCGGTCGGATGACGCTAAAAGGAGAAGAAAAGAGGATGGCCTTAGCTGTTAGAACGAAATCATAATGACTGTGGCACATAGCGTTGTTAGCAGTTTCGGCATGCAGGCCAGACCAACCGTGTATCTGGTCAAAAAAACTCCCGCAACGTTGTTAGCATCTCCACAAAAATATGATGAAGCCTTTATTCATCTAGGCATGAACATCTCAAATGAAAAAAGCATTCACCCTGACTTACAGAACCTCTCTTTGGTTGGTTAACAGGATAATAGGGGCAAAGCACCTCAAAATAAGGAAGTCAGTTATTTTTGGCTTGTATACATGTAGATCAGAACACAACCAAAAGGGTATTGTGTAGGGTATTTTGTGCTCATTAATCCTAGATCTCTCAAGTATTTTATCCTTGCTGAACCAAAACAGATCTTCTTTTATTACGCATATTACATTGAACATATACACAACTTTATAAAATTATAAAATAATTTAATATAATCGGTTGCAGCATGGTAGCAAGCACTATAGTGGAACCTCGCCTTACGATCACTCTGTTTATACGACCACCTTGTTTACACGAACATTATTCTGTCGACCCAAACGTAAGAATCACTGAGTCATTTCGTAACAGTGGAACCCTTTTAGTGCGACCACCTCTTTAGTGCGACCTGGACTCGTTTATGGCCCAACGGTGGTCGCATTAGCAGGACTAATTTATTACTGATGAAGGACTGAAATGTGTCTGGAAAATATGCGATGAAACAGTTTTTAACCCTTAGTCTGTCTTCGGTGTGATTATGTGCAGGACAGAATATTAATCCATGTACTGAACATTTGACTAGAACGTTAATTGATGATTTTGTTTTTAGCTCAAAATCAACTTCACAGGTTTCATCTATAACCTCTACAATGACCTTTGAAAAGCGTATCATCCGGGTACAGTGGAACAGCCCGAGGCGTAAAAAAGTGATTGCTTTTACTGTTTTGCAGTCCTTGTAATCTTACATTCAACAATATTTTCAAACACATTTAGAGCTCTTTCAAAGCAACATTCCCTTGGTACCAATCGACATGTACAGATGGATCTTGCACTTCTTTCAGGTGTTAATGATGATATATGGGCAGCCAACGACCATTTTTATTTTTAAATTCGTCAGATTTGTTTCAGATGGTTTTCTCTTTGATTTAGAAGCCTGTTTGATTAATTTGAAGCTCCCCCCAAAACTGTTGATCTGTTCTGTTGTCTTAAAAGGGAACTTTGGTGGTCTCGAACGCTTTAGATGGTTGATGGGTCCGGAAGACTAAGTTCGAGGACATGGATTAACAGTCCTTTCATAAGCGACGTTTTGTTATACCGAAATTTTCAGAAGACTTTTTTTGTAACAATAATCGCGACATCTTGGTAATAAATATGAACTGTCAAAAATCTCTGAAAAACGTAGGAAAGTTGGTAAAAAAAAAAAGACTCTGCATATCTTAGGCACGTTTAACAATTATCCAGAAATTTTTAGCCTTTCTGGAGCTTTAGAGATTTCGAGGTAGTATCAATTTGCCGCTTTATAACAATTATTTTGCAGAATCAAGTCATTGGGTGTCCCTGTAATGAGATGCAGTCTAACTTCGCGCCATTACGCGTATCTTGAGGTCACCTGAGCCGCTATAACATACAGCAGGCAGTTGACCAAAAATGGTCATACCGATCGACTGAGGAACTCACTATTCGTACAAATTGCTCAAATTGTACGAATCGCAAGGCGTAATTCCTTGACAAATCGTATTGTTTTACCAATGGCACGATTGCTGTGGGTGTTTTGACGAATCCGTATGTGTATATTCAGGGCACGTGTGAGACATACCGGACCCACTGATTTCTTGGCTTGGTGAATAGGCCATTTCCGAGTTGAAACCTCAACCTTTAATAAAATGAGAAAATTCGCCGGTCTATTGAAACCGGTCGTTTGTACAATAAAGCAAGTAGGACTCCAAGTGTTATTTTTTTTTAATAATAAGACTAATAAAAGAATAAATATCAAACCAGAAATTGCTCTCTTCAAACAAACTGTAAATTATAAATGATCCTGAGAGAATATTCAGTGTGTTAAGGATTTCCCTGCTGTACTGTCAGCTCTATACAAGAAAGGAAGGGCGATTCTTTTTTAATTTCCGTTCGCTGACACAACTTTAGTAGAAATCTCTCTTTAGTCGTTTCGTCGACAAAAAGAATAGCAATATCGCTCTCCGCGTCTTCCGCCATTTTTTTCTGCGTCAATTCGTGAAGGACGCGTGGCTCTGAGCGTGGTTCATCCACTTGGAACACGTTCGCTCTATGTGATTGGCTGTTGTCTAATCTCCCTTGGGATCTGTGGTCTTAAAAATAACTCGAGACGAATTACCTATGTAATTATAACTATAACAAAATTGTCAAATCTGATTGGCTATCAACTGCCCTGATTTCAGCCTTAATTGGACAGTTTAATAGAACGGTACGCGTCATGCCTTAGTAATTGGACAGTACGCGCCATCACGCGCGCGCTTAAATGGCTTTTTTTTTCGCTGCTCGCAAAACAAACTTTCGAATGTCTTGTGTTTTGATTTAAAAAATAGCCTATTATATCACAAATTTTGTTACAGTTATGATTAATTGGTAACAGAACTTCGTGTCGTCCAATTCGGTCTGTAATCATACTCGTGATTAAACAAATCGGACTCCTGGTACGCGGTCGTCCGATTTTGTTAATCACTCGTATGATTACAGACCGAATTGGACTCCACTCAGTCCTGTTACCATTACGAATAGGGTGTGTATGGGGGATACCTTCTCTGTCCCCTTTATCCTCTCTTGCTATTACTTATCAAAATTCCTCACACGATTACCAGAAGAAACAAAGAGCGCAGAGGAGTTACTTGTGACCTTAATTGCCGTCAAATTTTGCAGTTGTAGGTGCAAATCGCCTTACTTTTTACTCAGAATCGAAGTGTATGAACTTGACCGGTCAAACCCTCACGTGAACTTGTTACAAACCTGGTAAAATTATCTAGAGCTCCGGAAAACTGCAAAAGGTAATATAGCGTCTAATAAAGAGACTTTTTTCTCGGCACTTTGTGCCCCTCTTCACCGCTCACTGGACGGCTTTAACAATGCAACCAGTCCTTTCAGACGTCTATCTAGAAAGTTTGTCACTCGAGGAGACGGCTGAAATTCAGGCTACTCATTGTGAGGTCATGAAGCTGACCTGTTTCAACGATCAATCATTTTTTTGTTTTGTTGGGTTTGACAGGAATTTGTCTCTGATGAGATGCTGTTTTACCTCAGTTTTCTTTTACTCTGTGTGGGGGACCTGGTGTGGGAAGTTTATATGATGAACCGGTTTTAGAAAGAATCTGCTCCACTCCTCCAGAGACGGCGAAAGTACCTGACTCGGTGTATGTTGTGGCCTGCGTAGCAGGTGTCGAAAGGGGCAGGGGATAGGGAGGAAGAGAAAAAGGAAGGGAGATTGCATGGGGAGAGAGGGAGGAGACGTTCCTCCCTTCCTTTTCCCTTTGGCGCTTTTCTCCCTCCCCTCTCCCCCTCCCTTTTTTATGCCTACCACGCAGGCTATGTACGCTGAAATGAATGAATTGTATTTGATGCTATCCTTCCTTGTAGTGTTTTTTGAGTACTTAATTCTGTTTCGGCTGATTGCCGCATTACAAATGGTGGACATCAAAAATTGTTCAACTTCTATTTCTAAGGAAAAAAGGCCTTGTACACAGGTTTTTCGCAAAGCAGAGCCCTCTCCATTAGTGTTGTTACTTTTCAAGAAGATTGCCGATTTACTACACATGTAGGGCATAAGCCAATTAAAGCTAACAAATGTGTGTTTTTTACTGAGATCGTTAAGGAAGGAGGGTTATACTCAGACAGAATTATACCATCTGTTTCAAAATTGTTACACCTGATTTGACCTATGGTCTATCGGTCTAGTGGTGCTGTTAATGCAGGTCTATATTGAACTATAATTCTGTAATTAGGATTTGCCAAAATGAATTTCTTCTTTGCTCAGATAACTATTCCCATGGTCATAAGCCTTTCTTAAAAATTCTTCGAGTTACATCAGTTTCAGCCGTAGCACCACAGTAGGGGGATATCATCATATTCACCTAGCGCTCGCACCAGTGGTTACCAAATATCAATTTAATAGTTTTTCGCGATCAAGAAAACCAGGTAAAACATAAAACGAAATATGCAAAATAATGTAGGCTTAAAATGCCAAATTTGACTAGACAGCTCAATATAAAAAAGGCAACAGGTGTATAGTTTGCAAATCAGACGAGGAGAAATGTTTGAAAAGAAATAAATAAAGAACATTTGGTTATATTAAAGATCAGTTTAATAAGGTGGTACATTTTTATACTGTAACATACAGGTCTCAATATTGAATTGACAAATTAAAATGTATTTCTTTTTTCATTGCCTGGTTTATAAAAAAAATATATATATATTATCCTGGCTTAATCAGTGTAATATTAAGTGACTGTCACGTTTGAAGCTGAATACGATGCCTCAGTTTTTAGGTTGTTTCGTAAAATGTTTCTACTTCGTCTGGAGTAAAATAATAAGTGCCTGCCAGAAATGTCTGGGTGAAGGTGCTTCCATAGCTGTACCCACTTGGTGTGCTGTAAGTATAGTCAAGGTTGGTATAGAAAATGCTACTAGATGACTCGAAAATGGTAATGTCATGGCCTCCACCGAAAGTAGGTCCATAAGACGAGCAGTCGTATATTGAATGGCTGTTGTAATAACTATATGTCCCTGTCTGAGGCAGTTTCAGAGGTGCCCATCCTGGCTTGTTCACCAGCGAGAAAAGGAATGCCTGGGAATCATAATGAAAATGGCAGCGGTAACCTGTCGGGAAAATAAGAAATGAAAAAGATGACCAATGTACAGACTTCGTTCAAAAATTCGAATTCATACACACAAGAAAATATACTGATAACTAATAATAGTAGATTAAGTTCCTTAGCAAAGATCGATGAAAAGTGTGATTTTAAAACTAATTTTATTCTTACTTAAGTATTTACTTTTGGAAGGAAGAAACTGCTTCTTATTTAAAAAGCTAAGACGAAAGAAAATATTGCAGTATATCGATGTAAATGAGATAGTTCAGTTTGTGAAAGCTGCCATCATGGTCATTAGTGTACACTTAAAGATATCAACCTTCTTTGTGGTCAGTCACGTTTTGAGTGCTAAGGTGTCCCCTGAATGGAGGTTAAACCCAGGTTTCAGGACCAAGAAAACCTGTCCCTTTCCCTTAAATAGAGGTGTCCCTTCAATATAGGTAACAGATATAAAGATCATGTGGACGTCTTTCCCGGACCAAATTTTGTGTCCCCTGTATGGGGTTGTCACTCAAGGTGTTTCGGTACAGTTTTTTCGGAGACCATACCGATATTTTTCAATCGCCTTAAAAGTCGTTTTATCCTTGTTCGATGGCTATGAAATTTTCAACACTTACTGACTTTGGACTTTTTAAGTAAAATCGATATCACTATGGCAACAATACACAAAAAAAATGAAATCAATAATAGCCGAATTTTCAGCGATTTAGGCCTGCTACTGAAAATCCGACACCAGGAACTTGTGGCGTTTAGCAAATAACCTCCGTAAGAAATAAAAAAATTTGTATATTTGATTTCAAATAAAACGTAAATATATTACAAACTTTATATTTTCAATAGTCGAGATAAATTGTTTAGTAAAAAGGGTTGTAAATAATATAAATTTGTCTTAAGTAGCATCAGAATGTTGTTTAATATCATATTTTGCTGCTTGGAAATTTTGGCGTATTTTCTTTCATGCCATCCTGAAAACTAACCAGTTATCTCACTACCTGTTTAAGTGCAATTTTCTTCTAAATTTTGACTTTTAGCTCTTTTCTGTATCTCTCTATAGAACGGCTCGACAGAATTCTTTTTCAACCTCATCAAATAATCTTCAATATTGAGATTGATTCACTGCAACACCTTGAAATTTCAAGACAAACCTACTAGTGTACAAACCGGCCAAAAATTCGGCTTTACATTTACTCTTTTGACGTTAGGCTAATTTTCCCAAACTAATGCGGACCATACATACTTCCATGAATAGCATGAATAGTACATTGATTCAGTGCGAATATTGTCATTAATTTACATTTTGATGAACCAAACTCAAGGGTGGGAATTTGCATTGCAATTTTTGTCCAGTATTTGCATCTTTCCCTTAGCAAGTCGCAGGACAAATTGTCGCAGTTTTCACTGAAGGGAAAGCGTGAACGGCTTCGTGTGACCTTTGTTAAAATTTTCCGTTGTTATTTCCCTCTAGAGTTTTAGTGGTAAATATAAATAGTAGATAGATTTAGCCAGGGTCAAAAGCGAAGCTCTCGATAATATTTATAGTTTGCAGAGGCGGATCCAGGATTTTTTTTAGGAGGGGGTGCACTCGTCTCTTGCTCTACTTCAACACCAATAAACCACATAGTTTTTTTTTGCAGAATACCAATTGTATTAGAAAACCGCAGGTCATCTCGGGGGGGGGGGCGCACCCCCTGCACCCTCCCCTAGATCCGCCCCTGGTTTGTTCAAACAAAATATAAAATCGTGTAGTGCTAAGCGAGAAGGCAACGCCGGAGAACGGTGAAAAATAGCAATCGGTCTAATTAGCAAAAATAGCAACTTTGCGCTCTTTTTGTACATTCTTTGCCGTTGTTTTGCACCACTACAACGTGAAACTTGCAGAAACTTCTTGGTTACACGTTTTATGGAGGAGGAAATGTCGTACGTGTTCTCGTTGAACTTTTTTTTCACTACCCGCTCATTTTCACCTTGCATTGGTGGCCACTGGCATTTCCCATTTTGTCACCGTCGCTACAAAATTTTCATGTTGTTCTTCCAACAAAAAAAAAAGGTCTCCTCTGTTTTTTATCTCTCGCTCTAGACCTCTGTCGCCCTTTTTCTCGTTGAGCTTCGCTGGCCTGCCGCCTACTTTCTCTTTTTCTCTGTCTTTCTCCTGCTCTATATTCCAAATTTGTTGCAACAAGAGAAAAAAAAACTTGTGCATTACGTTGTGATGGAAAAAAAAAGGATAATAAGAGAAATGCCGGGGATTAAAAAAAAAAAACTGAGCTTAAAAAAATTTCGTTCCCCTCCTTATTTATTTTAATTGATCGTTGTCCGTCAAGGCCGTCAAGGATGACAGCTACCGCAACGAGTCGGAACGAAAATTATTTACCATGACGTTGCACGACTACGACGTGAAACGTCCTAATTTCACGTTCCAAGGAGTACCTGAACGTAAGACAACGATTTTTATTCCTTTTTCTAAACTTTGACGGGGAGCTTTGGAATTTAACCCCGAAAAAAGAACTTTGCCAACATTTGGCAAATTGAACGAGATGGAATAAGGGCGATACTAGGAATAAAGTTTGAAACGCAGCCTGAATGCAATTTTTAAGGGCCTGTTGGAAGGGGGGGTACCTCACCTACCTAGGGTCTCCCACCTCCACCTAAACAGGCCCTAAGTGATGTTTTCGCTGGCCTCCCCGTCGTCGTTGCTTAAGCTCCTAATAATTCACAAATGTCTGATGGTAAGCCGTAACGAAAGTGATTCCACTTACCCCAAGAGAGGCTGGTATACCCTCCAAATATGTACTTCCCCCCGACTCTTATTATTGTTACAGTTGGTCCTTTATGGTCGCATCGGCCGTGAAAAGTACTGGCAGCCCAGCCGTCCACGGACGCACGCCAACAGCGTCTCCATCGTGAAGATTTGCTCGAGACTGGTTTGAGCCAAGTGGTCAAATATGTTAAGTAGCTAACATCATTTCCCACAATAGCTGAGCCTGTCAATCCTCCTACGAGATATAAACAAAAAAAACTGTTAGGAAACAGCCTAAGACCGGAATCCGAGGCCTAAAAAAAACATGACAGCTTCAAGAGAAAAGGACACTTTAAAATTTTATTTTCTTGCGTTGTTCTCAAAATCGTTAATAACAATCGTTAATACACATTTTTCAGAACTACAACAAGTACCAGGTTAACCTGAGTCTACTTCAATGAATACTATTTTAAATTCCTAAACGTGTTGAAAACGTGAATTCAATATTAAATATCAAACGTCAATTCAAAATTAAATATCAAAGCTCCACCATTCCAGCACGAGGGCTGATGGAGGAAAGGAAGTGTGAAATCAATGCTAAAAGGAGGGCCGCTGCAAAGTCCCGGATTGACAGGATTGACGAATCCTGATCTCCTGATCTACTCCAAGCGGTGCAGCAGACAAGGGACAAGGGTGTCAGCTCGTGGCTGAACGCTATTCCAATCGAAGAACACGGACTGGCTTTGAAGAAGCAGGAGTTTAGGGACTCCCTTTGCCTTCGCTACAACCTCCCTGTGCCTAATCTCCCTAATTACTGTGCTTGTGGAGAAATGTTTACTGTCAACCATGCGTTGTCATGTAAGAAGGGAGGTTTTGTAGCTCAGAGACATGATACAATCCGAGATCTTCTGATATCACACATCAGTAAAGTGTGCAGAAACGTGGAGACAGAGCCACTCCTGCAACCACTCGACAATGAAGTATTCAACCTTCAGTCCACTGTTATAAGTCGAGAAGCAAGGCTGGATATGAAAGCAGGAGGTTTTGGACACTAGGAGTAACGGCATTCTTTGACGTACGTGTAACGCATGTTAACTCCCGCTCCAACCAGGGCAAGTACACAGCTACGATCTTCAAAGAGCAAGAAAACGAGAAGAAGAGGAAATACAACCAGAGAGTGATGGATGTAGAGATGGGAACTTTTACACCACTGGTGTTTGGTACAAACGGGGGCATGGGACTCGACTGTCAGAACTTTTTAAGAACTCTCGCAAATAAGCTTTCGACTAAGAACAATGAACACTACGCCAGCGTTTTTTTCCTGGCTTCGAATACAGCTCTCATTTGCTATATTAAGAACTGTACACAGATGCGTCAGAGGTTCTAGATATCCATTCAAATCACGAGAGGTCTCAGAAGACTTCACTTTTGCTGTAGCTGGTCTACATGTGCACTCATAATTTTAGGCCTAGATTTTTTTTTATAGTTTTTTTCTTAGTAATGCTTGATTTTCCTTTTCCCACTTTTAAATTATTCACAATTGTAAATAGCTTTCTACCGTGGACATATATTTAGTTTTTAATTTGTAAACAATACAATATAATTTGAAACTGTAAATATTACTCATTGTTCTGATACTTAAATATTAAAGATTGTTTATTATTCAATATTAATTAATAATTTATCCACTTAGACTGCGCAAGTATCCATAACAATGATTAAACGCGCCTTACACTAACAGGTAATAAAAACATTAAAAATCTATTTACAATACGAAAACAAATAATGATATGATAATAACAAAATATGACAGAAATATATCTAACTTTTTTTTTGAAAACCAAACTAACGAAATTTGTAGTCATTTGAGTGAAAAGGTGTCAAAAGGCAGGTTTCTTAAGTCCGAGATGCTCCAAAATTACAGAAACGACGGAGAAGGAAAGGAGAAAAAGAAACAGCGAGGAGAAGGAAAGGAGGAGAAGAGAAAAAAAGCAATGGCTACGCTCGTAGTTTTTATAATAGCTACTCTAGAGATAGTTTTTGGCGGAGAAAATTAAACCGGCTGTTGGGCGCAAATGGTCCAGTCGGCGATAACGTTTTCAAATGAATCCGGCTAGATATACACTACTACAATAAAAAATCTAAAATATTGATATGTAACTGGTAAAAATTCAGTTCACAATGAGCAGATCTTAAAGGGTGGGTCTTATAAAGCATTCGATAACTTGGGCGCAGCCACCTGGAAGGACCCATCGCCTATTGGCGACGCTAGCAAAACATCCCACCAGACGATCTGAAATTATATCTGCTTTGCGATTTCAAAGAAACTAGATTCTGAATGTATGTAGGGGCTATAAGCAATGAATTGCCTTTCGAGGATGAAGTTGACGAAGAAAAGTAGCACTTGAAAGTAAAGCAATGTTGAGTCAGTTGCAGAAAATAGACTGTCTTGTTTTCTTACGGTCGGAACGAGTTTGAATTAAGCTAACTTAGTCTGTCATGTCCAACTGAAGTTTAAAATTCGAATTTGTTAGTCGTGGTGAATTTGTATTAGTTTTTTTGCAAGGAATGTCTTGTTGTTTCAGTAATTTTGTTTCGAGATATTTTGATCACTTTGAAAATGAGTCCCTTTTTTTAGATTGGATACAGGTGTCCAATGTTTTGTACTTTAAGTTAGTGCCTCATTTTTTGAGGCTTTATCCACTGAAAAACAATGAAATTTAACATTTTTATTAACATTTTTCTTATCAGTCCGGGAGATATCCATTTCTGGATATATGATGACATCACTGATAATTCCATCTTGGACCTTCAAAGACAAATCAGTATTTGCAAGGCTTTTGCGCGGCCATTTGTTTGTTTCCTTTCGAATCCCATGAGACCACGCGTTATTTGTAAAGGACCATCAGAGGAACATGTGAAACAAAGAAAGATGGCGTGCGTCTCTGCAAAGCAGAGAAAGATCTGCCGAACGTGATGTAAACAGTTGTGATCTTCGTGCATTCTGAGTGGAGTGGTCTTTCAATTCTTGCAATTTTCAGGTCTGTAATAATTTTTTCTGGTTTTGAGAAAATTACTCCTAGATACTGGAGTAAATTTGTTTGTTGTTATTCAAAGAAACAGATGTAAGGCCTTTGAAAATCTGTGACGTGTGTAATTTCGGGGCCATTACTGGTTCAATGTGTGAGCGTTTCGTGGATCGTATTCTAAACTGATCCTTGGTTTCGTTTAATTTGGAATTGTTAATAATAATAATAATAATAATAATAATAATTTATATAGCGCCTATACTTTTCAGTGCTAAGCGCTTCAGAGCGATCTGATGTCAATAGGCAAATCGCTCCAGAGTATAGGGGCAATGACTGAAAAATCCCTTAAAAAACACAGGGATTAGGTCAACCAAATAATCAGGAGCTAAATTGATGAGTATCTGAAAAAAAATAAGATTAATCTTAAAGGTTATTCTTTGCTCCACTGGTAGCCAGTGCAACTCGTTTATAGTATCACCTATGTGATCAAACTTACGTAAGTAGGCAATCACGCGGGCTGCAGCGTTTTGGACACTTTACAGTTTGTTAATTTCATACTTGGGAAGACCATGTAAAAGCGAGTTGCAGAAATCCAGCTTCGAATTTATTAATCCGTGCACAAGAATTTCAGCCGTTGTGACATTGATAAACTTACGAACCTTTGCTATATTTCTAAGGCGGTAGAATGCCACTTTAACTATGTTGTTAATATGAAAAGACATCGTTACGGTGTTATCGAACATTTGTTCGTGACAAGAGCCTCATAGTCTCTTGTCGTGAACATTTGTTCGTGAATTGTTCGTGTTGCAAGGCGTTGCAAATTTTTATTAGTTTTTAAATCCAAATCCGTAGATTAAGCTGTGGAGGATTCCAAACTTTAACTGAGCGAATCAGTCTTATCTTTGCTGTTGTTTGTGTGACATTTACAGGTCATTTCCTTTGCTCTTTGTAATAGTCCGTTTTCGAGTTCGCTATGACCGCTGAATCAAAGAAGTCACGACGCATTTTTTACAGCCTTAGCCTCCGTCTGAAGTAATATGTTCACAAATTCCGACGAGAAAAAGACCTGTTTATTACTCTGTCTATTGTGTATATTCAAATTTCAAACACTTACTTGCCAGAATTTCTGAATATTTTACTTTACGTCGAGGCTAACCCTGTATGAATGTGTCGTTAATGTTTTTATTCAGCGGTAATTTATTAATTCGAAACTGGACTATTGTCCGTGAATGTGATGATTTCCTGCTCTGCTGGGTGCACAGGTAACCCAGGCTCTGTGATAGTACCACAGTACGGTTCCAGTGAAATTACGGTGTTTGTATGGGGTAAAAATACGATCCTAAAATTTCTTGGAAATACTATTCACAATACTCAAAGTCGAAGCGCGAAGCCAAAACATTAAAATAACAAGTCTCATGCACAAGGGTATGCAAGTGCACGGGGCCCTGAGTCCCAAGGGGCAATAATAAATGCCGTTGAACACTCCCTCTCCGCTCAGTCTCTGATCAGCGCCAAGGAGGAAGGTGGAACTTCCAATTTTTTCCCACGAATTTTCAGCAAAGAACACTTCGCCTTTCTATTGTTTATGCGTATCATAAGTTTTTATACTTTATTTTATTTATATTTAGAATGCCTCAACCGGACGCTGAAGTTCAAATCCCAAGACCTGTTGTTCCAAACCCAGCGCCGGGGAATGATGCGCCCGAACCACCAGCGGCACAACAAGCTCGTGAATTGACGGCGGAAGAGAAACTTGAGGTAAACGTTTGAGTCGTGTCAACTCGTATTATTCGCATGGTTTTTATAGTGTTTTTTCTTTTTCCTTTTTTGGGGGGTTGTTTTCTTTTCATATTTTCTTGATCCAGTTTGGATTGCGATGTATTTGTTATCTTGCACGTGGCTGGGTTATGTAATGTAATTATGTACCGGCGCTTATCCTTGTGGGCGTCCGGGGTTTGTTGCTGGTTTTATCCAGTATGTACTTTGGGGTTTCTTGTTGTTACTTCCTTTGTAGTTAGGTTTTTGGGTTATACATTAGAATTATTCTGTACTGTTTGTGACTTGCTTGTTATTGTAAATAGAGTAAATGACTTTTATGTATACACGGTAGTTGTATGGATAGGATTGTTGTGGCCAGTGAGGCAAATTGTGATTTGCCTGCTATTGTCATGGCGTGATTCTCTCAGCAAGGTGTCTGTTTGATGATCATGGCTGTTAAATGTGGTATGGCCAGTGAAGAATGTAATTTACTTGTTATTGTCGTAACGGAATTGTTTGCATAGAATTACTATGGCCAGTGAGGCAACTTTGATTTGCCGGCTATTGTCATGGCGTGATTCTCTCAGCAAGGTGTCTGTTTGATGATCATGACTGTGCAATGTTGTATGGCAAGTGAAAAATGTAATTTACTTGTTTTTGTCATAACGGAATTGTTTGGATAGAATTGCTATGGCCAGTGAGGCAACTGTGATTTACCGGCTATTGTCATAGCGTGATTCTCTCAGCAAGGTGTCTGTTTGATGATCATGACTGTGGAATGCTGTATGGTCGGTGAAGAATAAAATTTGCTTGCTATTGTCTTGACGGGTTGTTAAGATAGAATTATTATGACCTGTGAGGCAGTTGTGATTTGCCTGCTATTGTCATGGCGTGATTCTTTCAGCAAGTTGTCTGTTCGATGATCAGGACTGTGAAATGTTGTATGGTCAGTGAAGAATGTCATTTGCCTGTTATTATCATGACGGAATTATTTGGATAGAGTTGTTATGGCCAGTGAGGCAATTGTGATGTGCCTACTATTGTCATGGCGTGATTCTTTCAGCAAGTTGTCTGCTTGATGATCATGACTGTGAAATGTTGTACGGCCAGTGAAGAATGTACTTTGTTTGTTATTGTCATGACGGAATTGTTTCGATAAGGTTGTTGTGGCCAGGAAGGCAATTGTGATTTGCCTGTTATTGTCATCGCGTGACTTTTTTCGGCTGATTATCTATTTAATGATCATGACTGTGAAATATTGTATGGCCACTGTATAATGTAATTTGTTTGTTATTGTTATTACGGAATTGTTTGGATAGAGTTGTCGTGGCCGGTGAGGCAATTATGATTGGCTTGCTAATGTCGTGGCGTCATTCTCGCAGCAAGCTGTCTTGTTTGATATCATGATTGTGAAATGTCAAAATCGGTACAGATTTCGGTAAATTGTGGCGTAAGAGTCTTACACGCGCGAGGTGCGCGGGCCTCACACGCCCTTAGGGCGTGTGAGCATTTTTTAGCGTCTCTCCCCAGTCCCGCTCTCTGTTTTTCAGCCTCCCTCCAGACCTTTTGTTTCACTGCTCGTGCGTACTTGGATCAGCAAAATTCGGACTGTTTGGCAGTCTAAGTGAGGCGCGTAATTTTATTGTTACTGTTATTTGTCTGATATTGTCTTGAACATGTCCAAACCCTGATTAGCGGGTTAACGATTGTGACAGTTATACTTGTGTAGCATGAAATTTGCTTGTTGTTGTGACGTAATCGCTGCATATTGCCTAGAATTGATAATCAACTTGTGCAGGAGCCGATTGTGCAATTCCTTTGTTTTAAATTACGTCATAACACTTTGAAACAATGAACGTTTTTTCGTCAGTGAGATTTGAGGCCTGTTTGCTAACGCTGTTGTTAACGCCTGAAACTGAAAGGGAAACTTCTTTGTGATTTTTATAATGAGTTCTGTATAGAATTTGTCTCCGTTTATTGCTCTCCATAGGCGTTGCAGCTTAAGTATGAGGAGTTAAAGAAGTCCATGGACGCCCTCACCAAGTCCTCGGTGGATAGCCTTCTGGAGAAGATTCGTCACCTGGCCTCACGCCCTGTTCCGGAATTCAATAGGTTTGAGGCCCTAGACCTCTTAGAAGCTTTAAAGAATGCGGCTCAAGATACAAAGCACGAGAAGGCGGGTTATTTTCGCCTCGCGTTTGAAACTCTACGTGGGAAAGCTGATGAGCCTAATGACCAGTTTCGTAATTTTCTCCTTCCGTTGCTTGGTGATAAGGACCAGGAGAAGGTGTTAGAGGTGGTAGCGAAGGTTGAGAAGAATAATCGTCGAAAGTCAGTGAGGCAGAATTCCGGACCTGGTAGAAGAGCCATGCCAGGTTCTTATATGGGAGTTCGTTGCTACTATTGTAATCGCCCCGGGCATATTCAGATAAATTGTTTCAAACGGAAAAGAGATTTGGGCGGGCCTTCTGGTTTTTCCCGTGGGGCTCCTCAACCAAATGTTCACGCAAATCAGAATAAATAGAGAGATAACTGTGTAAAGTCTGAGCAGTTTATAATCTCACCGCAATTTCATTGTGCTACTTATGACGGGTTGTTGGTGATAATGATAAGGATGTTGGAAATAAATGATTTTCTCTGTATTGAGTAGCCTATTAATGTTCCTGGATTCTTTTCCTTTGTATAGATAATAGGTTTTCGAGGGTTTGCTTGGAGTGACAGTTATGAAAAAGAGTATCTAAACAAACTCCCCCGGTTATGCTGGGTCATGACTGTCACCCCTTGCTGGCCCCGTGGGTTCCCCCACTAACGTTCTGTGTCATTTATTGGTGTTTATAATCAGAATATTTTTCCCTTCCCTTCTCAGAATTCTTGTCATTTGACTTGGGATTGGGAGTGCGACTCGGAATTTGAAGAAAAACTTTACGCTCATACTCAGTATTCTTCAAAGTCAATCAATTGGGTTGATTGGTCGGGGAACTCAGCTGGGGTTGGCACTAGGGTGGCAGTCTTAGAGCTTTCGAGAGAAGAAATTGACCAGATTTGCCATGGAGATAAACTTGGAGACCCTGCAACATTGCGGTTTAGAGACCCTGCTACTTTTCGCGCTGGAGAAGTTCACAATTACTACCATCAATGGCAGGATATAATTGGCGGTTCTCCATCCGCTCAACAGGTTCAGGTTTTGAAATGGATAAAAGATAAAGTCTCCATTTTTGAATACTTTCAGCCCTTCTCTGGTAGTTTCAAGGGGAAACAGTACTGTTCGGATTATCCACCTTCTGAACTTTTCAGGAATAATATGTCGTGTAAGCCCTTCGCGGATTTTGTGAGAAGCACACTGCTTGATCGCTTAGCCTCGGGGGCAATTTCTTTGATTGGAAAGGTGGGGGAAGTTGATCCACCCCATCTGGTCCTTCCTCTGACTGTGGAGCCCACCAAGCCGAGGTTATGCCATGACGCTCGTTTTTTAAATCTATGGATGAGGGACATGCCTTTCAAGTTGGATACCCTTTTGGATTTACCAAGATATGTGGGCCGTGATACCTATCAAACAATCCTTGATGACAAGTCGGGGTATGACCATCTCCTCTTGTCCGTGGAAAGTAGAACCTTTTTTGGTATGCAATGGGGTGGGTGGTACTTTGTTTACAATACCCTGCCTTTTGGCTGGAAGATATCTCCTTTTGTATACCACTCCACTGGTTTAGTAGTATCTAATTTCTTCCGATCAATAGGGATACCTTGTTCATTGTACATTGATGACCGGCACCATGGCCAGCTTCAGATCCCACCTAACCAAGGACCCTATGCGAACCTTACAAATCCCGATGAGCATAATTTAGCAGCTGCGAAATCAGCTATCTTTTTGGTAGCTTATTTTCTGATCAAGCTAGGATACTTTCTTGGTTTGCCCAAATCTATTCTGATGCCTCGTAAGATTGTCCCATATTTGGGTTTCCTGTCCGACTCCTCTCGAGAGGTATTCCATCTTATTCCTGAAAAGAAGGAGAAGTTTCTTGATCTTATTGAACAAACCCTGGCATGTCCAATAGTCTCAGTCAAAAGCCTCCAGCGTTTGGTGGGCAAATGTGTGTCATTTTCACTGGTGGTTCCGGGAGCGCTTCTGTTTACCAGGGAGATGAATAGTGCTATTTCCAAGGCTTTACGCACATCCAGACCTATCAAGTTACATGAGGCACTGAGGGAGGAAATCTCACATTGGCTCTTCCTGCGTACGTGGGACTACCCCCTCCCCTGGAGAGATGAACGTCATATCCGCATATCCTTAGCAACAGATGCCTCAGCCTCGGGCTGGGGTGGTTCAGTAACCTTGGGTGATCGTACGGTTGAGGCCTCTGACTACTGGACGAAGGAGGAGCAGGAGCTTGATATCTCCGCAAAGGAGGCACTGGCGCTTGACAAGGTCCTTCTCTCTTTCTCCGACTGTTTAAAGAATGCGTGGGTAGATGGCCTGGTAGACAATCAGGCAGTTGTCTATTCCTGGCAAAGGCAAGGGGGTAAGAGCATGTCCTTGCACAGGGCGATTAAGAAGTTATTTTTCACAACTTCAAAGTTAAATATTGCCCTCCATCTGACGTATATCACATCAAAAGAAAATGACGCGGACGCACCCTCTCGCCGTCTTACAACTCTTGATTGCAAACTTCATCCGCAATTATGGCAAAGAGTACAACAAGAGTTTGGTGGTTCAAAGGGACACACGTGTGACTTGATGGCACTTGATTCGAATGCAATGACAGACCAGGATGGCTCGCTGCTACCACATTTTACGCCTCACCCGTCGCCGCAATCCTGTGGTGTCAATTTCTTTGCGCAAGATCTATCAAGTGGAGCCCCGTTTCTGGAGTACCCTTACGTTTTCCCGCCTCTCTCTCTGATGGGTCCTGTTCTGCGTTTTCTGAGATCCCACGGGCGGTCGTGCACGGTCATAGCCTTGGATGTTTATCCGAAGAGGTATTGGTGGCCTCTTCTTCAAAGTTGTGCCAGTAAATCGTGTAGATTGGCAGTAAAGGGGGAGGCTGGGGCACTTCTGTTACCTTCTAAACAAGAATGGATTCCCCATCCTGGGATCCCTGGGGATCTCTGGGCTTTTGGTGTACGTTATTAGGGTATATCTTGTAATTGACTTTCAACAGTATCCTATTTCACAACACTCAATTGCTCGCGCTCGTTGTTATTAAGATATGGGAAAATTGATCTACGCGCAAACCAGCTCCGTTTCCACAACACCTACTACAGAGGTAATATTTAACACAAAAGACCCTAAAACAGCCCTTAAACCTCCCATCCTTATCACCCAACTCTCACCCAAACTTACTTTAGAGAGTTAATTGCAAAGAAGATTGTAGTTTAATGAAAAGATTCACTGTTCCGGAAACGACCTTTTCGCGGTTGTGGGTGAAGGGAAGGCACAGACGAAACGTTTCAAAACATTGACGTCATTCCACTCAGACGTGACAGTAGGGATGTCTACTGTCGATAATCGAGCAGATGCACCCGCCGGGTTAAGAACTTTGGCCAATTGCAAGTAATGTAAAGCAGTATGTCGTCGTGTCCACCCCACATGATCCATGATTTCCGTCAACTCAGCTCCTGACAATGCCAGGGTTATAGCACATCCAGCTGTAAAGCCATGAAGAGTTTCCCCATCGTCTGACCCCATCTCCCTTAGCTATCCCTTTAAACGAGCCTCCGCCGCAGTTGAGCTGAATGGTGCATCGAGTATGCCCCCTTGAGGAGTAGTTGGGCGAAAAAGATAACCCCTCGTTAAATCGATCCTTAGTTGCTGAGCCACTGCCATATAATGTTCTATCCCCTGAACAGGACAGATCTTTGTCTGTGGGTTTCGTTTGATCTCAAAGACATTATTATCACCGTCCCTCAAGGTTTTGCCTCACACATGGTTAAACAGGAAACCATCATCATTTGGGAATCTCAGAATTTCTGGTACCTTCACCAGGCCCATATCTCCAGGCCTATCACCACTAGAAAATACCGCTTTAAAGTACGCCTGGTCCCTCGCGAGAATAAAACGTTGTGTTGGAGTGATATTAGGAGACTGCAGATTTCTATCGATGTAGTCAGATAACTGAGCAAGTTTGTCCACAAAAAATGGGGAAGCTTGTTTCGGCGTTACTCTTGCCTGTAGCTGCTCAGCCGTAACTAAACGGAGATAGTCCTTAACCGATTTATCTGCAGCCGGGTTTCCAAGGCCAAGGCGTCTATCCCATTCCCCATCACGCCCAATAGTGTGGAAGATTGCCCGTAGTTTACCAATATACGAGTCTACAGTTTTATAGGAAAGTCTTAACGGGCAAGCACAATCAAATGTGCCTCTCTTCCCCAAATGAGGGCATCCGTTACGGTGGACCTGGGTTTTCCCATTCTTGTCTTTATACACCAAGAAACGGCAAATATCACGTGGTGTAACAGTTGAAACTGCAATTAAGCCTGGTAGAGAGGAAAGGAAATTTTCTAATTCTCTCTGAAGCGAAGCTTTTTGTTTAGAGTAACAAGTTGCTTGATCAAACAAGGCCAATTGTCGAAGACGATCATCAATAGCGTTCACATCCACATCGAAAGGCATACTACTTTTGTTCTGTAAGATTTTCCTTTTATAGCCGCACCGTTGGCAAAAGCGGAAATCGGAATCATTGGTATAACTACAATTTGGACACCTCACAGAAGGAGTGAACAGCTTTGCGACCACAGGTAAATCCTAGTAAAAGGGAGAAGAGGAAACGTTTATATAAGAAACATTGGAATTTTATTCTATCAAAATTATACAACAGTAGCAGAAAGTACACTTTCCGCGAGACAAGATGAAATTTATCACACAATTGCAAATGCGTTTATAGTTACTATTCACAATACTCAAAGTCGAAGCGCGAAGCCAAAACATTAAAATAACAAGTCTCATGCACAAGGGTATGCAAGTGCACGGGGCCCTGAGTCCCAAGGGGCAATAATAAATGCCGTTGAACACTCCCTCTCCGCTCAGTCTCTGATCAGCGCCAAGGAGGAAGGTGAAACGGCCCACCCTCCCCAACCCTTTCTTTGCTGAAAATTCGTGTTTGGATCGGGAATCGATTACAGTTCCACCTCCTCCAGGGCGCTCGATCAATTTTCCCATATCTTAATAACAATGAGCGCGAGCAATTGAGTGTTGTGAAATAGGATACTAAATAAAGATCAATGAAACTTACTCTGTAGTTAGTTGTTGTTATCCTTAATGCTCCAACGAAGTTTCGTGATGAAATAAAATAGCAACAGATATAGAAACCAATGAAGCTTTCCCAGATAGAGAAACGAATCCCACAGACTTTGACAAATTCGAAGGATGTAATGGAAAAAGACCGAGAACATGCTCGCCGAAGTAGCCGGGCCAGATCAACGTGCGGCCAAGAAAATGAGGCCTGGGCACTGTGCAAAAAGAAACCATCCTGGGAGTCTTGGGGTGACCTTTCTGGGGACCGATACATCACTTGCCCAAAGCCACCCTCCCCTAAAAATCCAGCTAAACCCTGAATCTATCATATGTCGAGATCCTGATCCTGGTAGTTTTTTGATTTATGAAATTTAATGAAAATATAGGACGTAGAACTTTTTTCACGTCGACTGCCGGTCAAGGTTTTCAAAACAGTACTCTAGATGACCGGCAGTCCTATTTTTTTCAGTAAATTTCACAAATCGAAAAAGCCATGCAGGATCAGGCACGCGAAATATGATAGTTTCAGGGTTTACCTGGATTTTTTCGATTTGTGAAATTTACTGAAAATATAAGACTGCAGATCATTTAGTGTTTTGAAAAAACACTAAAGGAAAAAACACGGACAGAAGGAGGGGAGTTGGTCCAAAATTGTTTAACCATTCCAACAGGGCATGTAGCTGAATAAGATGCCAAAGAACAGCATAAAAGACAAATTCAGGATTCAGTTATTCCTAACATTATTTTATTACCGTAACTATCATTAACTTTGGCGTATAAATTTAAGAAAGCAGGGCATACTAGAACTCGAAAGCTGGGGCGAATGACTAATCATTTTTTTTGCAAACATGCACCAAAATTTGAATCACTTTACAAGAGTCTGTGATTACTCACTCAGATTACCCTTACTCGTTTTTCATGCATCTTTTCTAAGTTAACAGGTTGTTCCTAAACAGAGCTGAAATAGCTGAAATCATTGTGTCCTTTCAAACCAAACTTGTACTGTCCCCTTGCCACCCCACAATAGTATAAACAATGCTTATCGAGAGATTACAAATAACGACAAAGGTATCAAAATTCTTTTGCTATTCAGATCTTGTTTGATAGTTTGTTTATTTATTTTTGGTTGGCACGAGGAAAGCGTCGCATAACGGCCGGGAGTTTTGGAAACTTCATGCAGACTTTGCTTTAACCTTTCAGAACCTGTTTCCCAGGCGAGGTTGCATTTACGTTCTTTATGATATGTCGAGAGTAATTATTTCTTGTCACTTACTTTTCCACTTTTCAAGATTTGACTGAGACGCGCGATGTATGGTCTCCTCAGGTCCCAACACTTGTTTACTTAAGGTAGCGGAAAAATTCTCGCCAAAAGGGAAAAGTAAGAGGTACAGCTGTACTGCTATGGCCCATTTTCTGTTGTGAAGCCGTATTTTGTAGGTTATTTTAGTCTATTCCATGTTTGCACTTGACGTTACACTCGTACCTTATAGAGTCTCGTCATCCGTATTTTGTATCGACAGGTTTTCAATTATATCATTTTTCTTTCTTAGTAGTTTTTCAACATAATTGTCATTTATTAAAATTTGAGTGTCAGCCCCTGAATTGGGCACGTTTAGGGATTATTGCTGACCGTGATTGTTACCTACATCAGAGTTCCTGTTTTGGTTTACAGTAGAGCCCGGTGGTATCAGCTGTCAACTTTTCATTGGTTTCTTGCTCATGTCATTATCATACCTTATAGGTTTGTTTTTTCCACTTTGGTGATCAACAGGAAATCCCTAAACTCGTTAGGAAAGTGCGTTCGTTACTCTCATTGTCAGCAAGCCCGCACGTTAAGTTATTTATTAAGCCTTTTTCGCAATGTTTGGCGCAGTTAGAGTGAAGTGCGGTCATGTAGTTATGTTCAGTAGCAGTCGGAAAGTGATGCTGTAGAAGAAAACATATGAGCTGCTGCGAAGAATAAAGAATCCCGAAATGTAAGCTAATGTAAATCAGGGCCGAATTGTTCAACTGAGTTAAGATAACTCAGGGTTAGTGCTTAGAGAGTAATTTTAGTTTTATTCTTTTTGTCAACAAGTTGATGATTGGATGCTCTTAAAATAACAGAGAAAATTATCCGAGCAAATGCTTTTGAACAAAAGAAATAGAAACCCGGGTTAAATTTAACCCTGGATTAAGCGCTAATCGGCCTTCGAACAACTGCTGGGCCCAGATACCTGGTACCTCTACGCCAAGCGAGCGAGTTGCTCGAACACCCCCTTCATTTGTCATATAAAATCAGCTTGTAACAGAAGCCCTGCAAACTTAAAACTGATTTCTTATATTACAGATTAAGAGTTAAAAATTTTACAAAAAATTTCCTGTCCTTGTTTTCATTAATTCTTTGCATAAGGTCACTTACTTGCATTTAAGGTGCAGTCAAAGCCATCCCCGACAAAACCTTGTTGAAGGTTACAAGTGCAATTGAAGGAACCACGATTGTTCGAACATGTGGCAAAACGATGGCAATAATACTTGTCCCTCCTGCACTCATTGAGATCTGTAATGTACGAAAGATACCATGTTTAGTTACTGCAATTACAGCAGCTATCAATTCTTTAATTACCGTATTTATTCGATTAAACGCCGCCCTCGAATAAACGCCACGCCATGATGCGGCGTTTATTCCAATAATAGACTCAAAAAGTAAATACATGCAGTAATAATCATGTTTGAGCAAGCCTGAAAAAATTATTTTCTTTGCTTTAACAATGCTTTAATATCAGTACATTCGCAGCTCAAAGGAATATAATTAACTTTATTCACTTTATGTATTCCAGTAGTATATTAACATGCAAATTGTGAAATTGAGAAAGATATAGATAATGACTTTAGTCACACAGGCACTAAAACATGTTTCTGTTTTTAAAGTTTAAATGCTCAGTTACCATACTATTGTTTGCAAGAGATAAACGGATATTAAATAGATGCCGCACTCGAATAACGAAAAATTTAACAAACGCCGCGGCGTTTAATCTAATAGCCTGAAATTCACCCGATTGCTTCGAGTCGTTTTCTTCTCTCAACAACGTCTGAATCGACCGGCCGTTAATGCCGTCCAGTGACGTCACTCACTATACCAGAAAATCGGGTAGTGATTTTGATGGGTTGACTGTCTAAACATTCGCATAATTATGTATAATTATGAAAACTTTTAGCGGGATTGTCGCTTGATATTCAGCGGATCGCGCCCCTAGCATTCTTTCGTTTAGTTCAAACATTTCGATAAGCTTAATCTTTATCTTAAACAGCAAAATTGCCCTTGTCTTCAAAACTGAAATGCTAAAGTGAACTGCGAATGAAGAATCATTGGGGAGAGTTGGCAGGTTTTTCATTTAGGGATTTAGAGCCGCTTTGTGGTTTCGGCGGCCGGTGATTTTGTCTACGCGAAGTTCTCTGAGATCAATGTTATAATTCCACCTTCTTGCTATTTTTACCGTCAAGTGTAATGATTTTGTTAGCTTTCTTTTCTTGTCTCCTTGTTTTTTTTTCTTCTTTAAGGACCAAATAGCTTCGTTTCAATTAAAGCAAGTCATTGTGTTTTTGAAGTAAGTGTTGCGTGTGTGTGTGTGTATTTCATTGCGTGATTGCGACCGAGTTTGATTATAGAATTTAGTACAACTGGTTCAGAGTTGAACTGCATGCAGTTGATAGTTTGAACGTGAAACATGAATTACTATCGAAAAAAATAAAGCAGTTCTGTATCATGCAGACATTTCCAAACGATATTTGTCGGTTTGCCACGCTAAAATCGTGTTTTAGGGGGTGTTTACATGAGAAAACTCGCATCGGCTCGAGTTTCATACCGGGACGACTCTTTTATTTCGTATAGCGTTTACATTATGACTGGGTCATTTCATATCTCGTTATTTAAAGGTACAATTCATGTTGATAAAATACACGTAAGATTCAAAATCGCAAACATTACCGGCAGTTCACTCATTGCATCACTTAATTATTTTTTGTCAACTGTTTTGTTTGTCTCTGTTTAATGACAAGATATCATTTAATCATGTATAACTAATTTTTCAGAAATAATAATCTCTTTTTATGACCGTAACCTTACACGTAAACATACACGAAAAACCACAGGTAGACCACCCTTTGTTAGTGGGGGCCGTTGTTGATTGAAATCTGAGCAACGATCTTTTGTTATTTATAGAAAAAATACGGTACATATGAACAATACGGTGGCTATAATTTGTTCCAAAATGCAGAATTTAAAGCAATTTTTTTTATTCATCTCGCAAAATAGCGCTTAAAACAACACGGGACGGCGAAAAAAACATGACACATGGCTCAGTTAACATTTTCTTCAAACTTTTATTGAAAAGTTTGCTCAAAATTCTGCATTTTGGAACAAATTATAGCCACCGTATTGTTCATATGTACCGTATTTTTTCTATAAATAACAAAAGATCGTTGCTCAGATTTCAATCAACAACGGCCCCCACTAGCAGAGGGTGGTCTGCCTGTGGAAAAACTATACCTTTCTTGCAAGTATACTGATGACAGTCACTGCATTTTACGTCATTCCATTCGTATTTGTATTCAACACCAAGTGTATGTACACAGTCTTCATCTCGAAAATTGTTTGGTTGGTTTTTCCCCCAAGCTGTAAAGTTCGCAGTACCACGATCTGCCCAAGTAAAGGAGCTCTCTGTGAAAATATCGTTCAATCCCAGCCAGGATTTTGCTCCATTGTGAAGATGCTGTAAAAACACATTTTCTTCATTGTTTTGGACATCAACGAGAACTGAGTTTTCTTGTCGGCATTTATCCAGTGCTATGGTCCAATTTTGACAAGTCTTACTTGTGAAATAGCAAAAGCCGTTGAAATAGTTCCAGCCAGGATCACAAATATCTAACAAAATGTAAAAAGGAGAAAAGATTTAGATTGCTGATGTATAAATTATTATATAATAAATATGATTATGGTCGGATTGATAGATATTATTTATCCTTAGCGGCACTTTCAGTTGTAGGATTATTGTGTATAAGAAAATATCATTTAAAATAATTAACGTTTTTTTCGGGGCAACGAGTAGACCATCATCATTATTTTTATCTTGAGGAGAGTAGGAGTGGTGTCACAATGATGAAAGAGGGATAACTTTTTTAAATTAGAGTAAAAATTCTGAAGCAAAAGTAACTTTTAACGTTGTTCGATGCATGATGGTTTTCATTTCGGCAACTGAGGTCTTCTGTCATTATGAGTTATTAGGGACCTTTAGATCCGACGACGGCGACGGCAATGAGAACGGCCAAAAAGCAATAGGTTTAATTATAGTAAAACAACAACTATGCACATGCCATCACGCTTTTTTCTACATTTCTTAGCAGTCGTTGCACGACTACAACGCGAAAATGCCTAGTTTCATGTTTTTTAGAGGACGTAAACAAGCAACGACGAAATTTTCCTTCTCTTTCTCGGCTTAACTGTTATAAGGCTCTTAGGAATTCAACTTCAGGAGGAGTAGCGCACTTTCGACAAAGTAAGCGAGATGGAAAAATCGTGATGAAGATTGAAAACCCCGAATTCACTTTTTAAGCGACGTTTTACCTGCCGTCGCCGTCCTCACATCTTAAGGTCTCTAATTTCTTTTAGACAAGAACTTCAAAGTGGTACCCTGCTGCTAGCAGTAAATGGGGAATCGAAAGTAGAAAATTTGAACAAAAAGCGACTGGAATTTTGTTACTCTCTTGACTCTCACTCGGCATGACTCGCAAACCATATGCTTGTGTTAGTTTAGAGCACTTCCAAAGTATTTATAATTCCTGATGAATCGGGTAAGATGTTTGCTAAAAACTACTTCATAAATGAGTTCAGTTCTTATTGCAGACCTGTGAGCACAGCATAACTGACGGACAAGGGGTCATATCTGGTCCCGTATAATTCCTTGACACAGACTCTGAATGCAGAGGTATTCATGTTCTGAAAAAATAAACACTTAACGTAGCTGGTACATTTTATGCCGTTGTAACCATAAACAACTGGATTAATGTGGAGTGAATGTTAGAATGGTCTCTGAAATTAAACCTTTCTCCTACAGTCTTTTTATGTGACATAGAAATGCAAACAGATTCGCCGTAACTGAAAACCGTGGTTTGATGAAAGCTTGTAAAGACCGCTAGAAAATTAAAAGATTGGAAGGTTTAGAAATAACAAAGTTATAAAAGCTAAAAGAATTAAAAGGTTCAAATGTTATCCAAAATATACTTTTTCCCTAATAAGGGGTATGATGGTGGCGCAAGAGCTATAAGGCCCAAACAGTTTGGCTAAACCTTGATCCCCGTTGATAAAGACAGCAAATGATTTCTTGTTCCAAGAAAAAAAAAACTATGGTAACGTTTAAACCCGAACCGTCAGGTCTAAAGTTTGAGCCCACCGCGGCGCCTGAGTATTTAAAGATATTATTCAAACTTTAATGAATAATACCTACATAATTATATTCGCGATCGAAAACATGAATTTAGCAAATAAGCAATCTCAAATTTTCTTGTTCCATTTTTGAGCCACATCTATTATCGACCTATACATCGCCTCAAGCGTGATTCTGTTCAGTTTTTTCTTTCGTCGAGCTTAGGTTTGAATTTTTTTTGCCAGGACACATCCCTACACATTCGCCCCATGACGGAAACTTTTACCTCAATCCAAGTTGTAATTCCGTTGTGGATCGGTGCAGAATTCCCAGATACTGTTGTGCTGTGATTGGCTGAGACAAGGACTGTCGGAGTCGAGTTATAAGCTCTCGTGAATGTGACGAACTGCCATGGAATAGAAACATACAACGTTTAACACCGTTTCCTTTAAAGTTAGTTACCTTCGGTTGTGTTTATTTTTGAAGTCACGATTGGACAAACAATGTTTGCGATCAATCATTTTAACAGAACGAACTGCCCTTTTAATATTTTGATTAACGTTTTTCAAACATTATTTTGTGGACCAGCTTCTTAGCTTTTCTGGTTAATTTGATCTCTACCACGTACAGTGTATATGACTATAAGTGTTTTGAAGATATAAACAGTGATGTAAGTAAGCTAAATATTTGTGAGGGAAAATCCTGTGAATAGCACGCTTATGCTAATAATTTTGCAAAAAATTCTTTTCTCACCTCACAATAAGCATTGTTCATTTTATCCGAAGGTGGGTTCGTATTTGGAAAACTTATGACGCCATGTTCAGTGAAAAGAGGCTTGTGCAGTTTGGAGAAGGCAAACCAGTTCTGTGAAAAGAGGAAAAAACAAAAATGATGCCACCCATACTTGTAACAGTCTCGTAAACATACCCACAGATAATTTATTTAAAATCAACTGCATTTTTAAGGCCCTTTCAGTGAACCTAAGCATTTTGAACTCTATAACTGTTTGTGAACTAACAATGAGAGCAAGGAGCCAAGGAAAGGATGCAAATCCACATTTTTTACGACATCAGGGGAATCGTGCAAAAACGTCAGGAAGGGAAGCATGGGGCAAGGCAGACCAATTTGTGTGCTGTTTAAAATTCACTCCCTGTAATGATGTTCGATTCTTTTTCTTATTTTCATTATTACTATATTTCTGTTTCTTTTTAAGTTTTTCTTTCTGCAGTTCCCTTCTTTCGACTGAGCCATCACTCGCCCGGACGATGTTTAAGTTATCAGTGCCATTCCATCTTACCCGCCCTGTTATGGTTAACAGACCAACAATCCTTACAAATTTTGCAGACAGCCGCGTCCCAGTTTCTAAGAAAATCACTAAGAACGTACCACAGTGATATCTTGGTGTCTACCATCAAAGTTTTGCATTTCACGAAGACAGACTTTAACTGAGTCCTTAGTTACGTCTTCAATCCAAATGAGAGCGGCATCATACTCTTTACCAGTCCTCAGGTGCTCTGACGTCACAAGGACTATTGGCGCCTCAGCAAACTTGCCCTGAAGAAAAAGCCAAAAAAAAAAAACAATAACAACAACTGAAGTCATGTTGAGATGAAATTGCTGCAAAAATTACACGCAACTAATCACTGAGTAAGTTCCCCTTCTTATTTATTACCTAACCTTGTCTTGTTATTTATTGTAGCAATCGTCATTTTTCTTCCTAGTTACCTCGTAATGATCCGTTATTTTTTAATTTAAAGACGGCGTGGATTAAAGCTGTCGGGTGAATGAAAGTCTAACATTTGCCATGGGGACTTGCATCAATTAATCTCTCACCGTAGGAAAAGTCACATCTGCGCATTTGGTACCAGACCACCATTTCTGCAACTCAACCGTTCCCGTCAATCCTTCGGGCGGTGCACCTTGATAAGCCACCCAATCAATGGTGGCAAATGGATTCGCACCTTCTTCTTTCCTTCCGGTTTGCATGACACAGACGGTGAAGTTTTTTGTGTTGATACTTTCTGTCCATGAAGTAACAGCGTCGTGGACTGTCACAGAGTCATTCAGCTTCATGTGATTGACGGTTATTTGAACATGAACTTGTTTATCGGGATAAAACCGGTATGGAGGAAATGTGACTGTCTGACAGTTTGAATCTGACCATTTTGGAACCTGTAGCAGATCTACACGGCCCCGAACAATTGGAAAACCTGTTTTATAATAAATTAAGTACTTGATAAGGAAGCATCACTGTACTCTTTAAGCATTATCGCTAAGGTCGTAGCTTCATTAGCTTGCGTTGTAGTGTAACTCTAAGTGGTGAAGGGTGGTGATAAAAAAAGCGTGGAAATTGAACTAAAACTAGGCTATAACTTGCAATGTCGGCTACCTTTCAACAAAGAAATGTATAGTGGCTGCTTATTATTGCATGCTGGTTGCTGGTTTCAGTGCCCAAGATAAACATATGCTAGTATAAAGATAAACATATGCAGTACTGGAGGAGGCCAAAAAAAAAAATTATAAATCAAAAGCGTACCTGATGACATGTACGCGTTGGAGCTCGCGCCACTGCGCGAAATATTTGATTTTCAGCAAATTTACTCAGTGCTAATAGGGTGAAAAAAAAAAAAAAAAAATACAAAAGAGGATGAAATCAAGGGCAAAGATAATAAATACTGCATTTGCCCTCAAATATGCAACTCCATGTAAACTGGTATGTAAATGTGATATTTACCACCCTTGTCTTTGATTTCCTCCTCTTTTGCACTTTTTTGAACCATATTTTCCCCGGGCAAATTTGTGTAAATCTAATTTTACGCGATAAAAACTAGATTGCAAGGCAAAAGAGAATAAAAGATCTTACACAGATCAAACATCGCCTATAGCCTGGGCTGCTATGTGTTTGTTTGCCAAAGCAGAGAGACGAAGTAACTTGTTACAACTCTCTATTGTTGCTTAGCCTGCGTGAGGGGCTAGAAGTCAGCTTAAAAGTAACGGAAAGTTATAAACATCCTATAGCTAGAAGCCAAATTGAATGCAATTTTGAACCAACAACTATAATTCTAAGCGATCGAGAGCTTAACTCCCAGACTAGTTTATGTGGCATATACAGCCAAAAAAATCGTTGAAATCATTATTCGTTACCTTCACAGCTTCCTGGGTGGTAGACCAGATTATTTTCGAGTCCTCTGCAATAGCTTAACTTATGCCAGCATCGGTTGTCGTAAGTTGTTCCGTTCGCAGTGCACACTGGGTCTTTATATGAGGGGCATTGGTCATCGCACTCACACTGAGCGTCATGCGCACTGTAGGTCCTGCAGACTCCAAATCGAGGGCAATGCACATTAAGGCAAGGATTAAGATCTGCAGCAAGAAAAAAAACATAATATTGAGTAGTTATCCATTCGAAAAAAAACATAAATTTCTAATATATTTTTCATATTTGAATTAAAACTAAATAGTAATGACACGTTTGCATACAGGCAACTCAACCTATTATTTTTATCGTTAGCAGACGTTATTAACGATACCGCCATCTTTGCACGCGCTTAAGGCTGATGGAATAAATTAAAGCAATGTTACGTGGTTTCTCAGGGGGCAAACAAGAGATAAAATCTGCAAATACAAAAATGCAGTCGAGTTTTGTTTGACCTACACAATAGAAAAGAAGTTTCAACATTAAATGAAAAGAAAATCGCAAAAGATGGGTGGAAGTGATTTTGAATGCAGTACACCACAGTAGAAGTCTTCACAGCAAGGAATTATGACGTAAAACTTGTCGAACTTTACATTTTGCATTTTGCATGACTAGAATCGTCGTCTTATTTTGAGGGAATAAACAAACTCGCCCGCGATTGCTCGATTACTCGTTTGGCAATTTTATTACTTGTCTGCCCTCTAATTGCTCTTATCCCATCATTCCTTACGTGCGTTCAAAGGTAGAGTGTAACATGAATAAGCTTATCATTGTTTGTACTCCAGCGTTTAGTTAATTCTATCATCATGAAACGTTTTCCTACAAATAAAAACTTCTAAAAGATATCAATAAAAATAAAAGTAATAATAATAATAATAATAATGATAATAATTCTAGAAATAGTGATCATTACAATAGGAAAATTATTTAACAACCTCCAGTAACAGCGTAGCTGACAATCAAGGGATCGTGACTCGATCCTAATCCACTGAGGTCTTTAACGCATATCTTCATAGATTCTAATCCAACGTCCTACAGCAAAATGTGATAGCACTCATCAGTTACTACAAAATCCATAATTTTGTCTTAATTTCTACGACGACAATACAAGTCATGAAATTTACGGATCAGATCCAAATTATCTGTTTCTTATGGCTGTTTCACGGTCCTTTTATCAATTTACTAGAATATACGGATTACTTCTCTTCCCTTATTGAATAAGAATATTATCCAGTGAGGAAAACCCCATTTCGCGACGCAATTAATTACTGGTTGAAAAGACGTCTGTGGAACGAGTGAAGAAATCCCATAATGATGACTTTGCACTTCGCAAATCAAGATACTGCTCCTGATTGGTCGTGCCGCAATGAAAGTTTTCTAATCAACCAATCAGAAGCACTGCATGCCCAGTTGACACATCATCAGTATACAATTTTTGCTATCGTCGCTCATCAGACGTCATTTTGTGGAAAAACTAGTGGTGGCGTAGCGTGAAATGCCGGCTTTTTTTTTCAGGTTAGAATAAAAATTCAAACCTACCTCAACCCAGGACGATATTATATTATTTTCTGGAAGACGGCTTCCCTTGACCTGAAGATTATACTCATGATTTACGGAAAGAATCACAATTGGCGATTTGTAAAAGGTCGTATTGAAAGGTACTTCCTGTAAATAGGTAAAAAAGTAATGTAAGTTAGTAAATGGATGTGTACGTGCTCACTTCGCCCTCTATTTTTGCCCATCGTCTGTAAAGTCCCCACTTCTAATATTCGCCCACTCAACAACGCGAAATTGAAGTGATTCGAAATATATAATTCTTGCAAAGTCGCGAAATTTAAAAATCCCAAAATATGCGCACATTCAAGTCGCGAGATAAGCATGTCGCGTTCATCTGGGAATTGCCATTTTGGATACATTGTCGATCACCATGGCCTGGTAAATTTAGGTTTACTATATTAAGTTTTCTCTAGTGTGACCTCAACCACTGAAAAGGTTCTGTGGCTTGCTAAATGTTCCTGTTAGAACTAAAGTTTTCACCTGACAGAAGCCGTAGTTGTTTTTGGCCGATGGATTTCCACTGTTTGGAAAGATTTCTTCTCCAGTTATTGTGAAATTAAGTTGACTCCCATTTCCAGTGAATGCGAACCAGTCCTGTGGACAAGAAAATAATGTTTAATTTACAAGACGTCAGGCATCGAACGACACTTCCTTTAACAAGAAATGTCTGCGTGAGACACTGTTACGAACGTTCTAGGTAATTGGTTGTCCGGGCTGCCGAAGTGTGGCAAAGTCAAGTTATTTATTTATTTATATTTATAGTATTATAGTTTACTCGAGCATTTTTCTTCACTTACCACAACTGCATCTTGGTGCTTTCCATCAAAGGGCAAGAATTCCCGTAAGCACACTTCAAATCCTCCAGAATTGACGTTTTCTAACCATAAGTACATAGCATCATTTGGCTTAGTACTGCGAGTGTACTTAACAGAGACAAATACACGAGGCTTGGAAGCAAAGCTCTGCAAAAAAAATGTTAGATATATGAAAAACTATTGACTAAAAAATAAACGATTTTCTCGAGATATAAATCAACATGATCGTATCAATGAAGTGCTCAGTGGCACTTATGAAATTAAGGATTTATCAAAGGCTAATGGGAGCAGATTAATTAAATCTTGACTACTTGTCTATTCACATCGACTCAATTTTCTACCCCTCTTAACCTCTTTCTACGAAGTGTTGAGAAGGTTGTTGAATGCATCTTTTTTGGCCCATTACTTAAATAAAGCTACTAACAGCAATGTTTCTGTTCGGCTAACTTTTTTTTTAGGTTTAATGCCAAAAATTTAACATCATTAAATAAATAGACTTCTATTTTCCCAATTTCCTTTGATACATCAATACAATCAAAACGGTCAAGCATTATTCAATCACTACTTCGAAACATAGTTATTAGGGGAGACTGGTTATGAAAAGCGGCAAACATCAATGATAAATTAACAATTTACAGTGCTGCAGTTTATGTTGGAAGCACCCTGAAAGCGCACAATCCTTTATTTTCTGTTGGCAAATTGTTACAGAATATATTAATGCAACGTTTTTATTGGTCAAAACAATCCAAATGACAGGAATGCTTTTGAACGTTGTGCACTTTCTGGTCCACAAAAACATAGAACAAAGGAGTCTGACGGGTTTCATAACCATTCCACTCAATTAACTATGTTCTAAAGCAAAACGTGAAAATGGCTTGTCTAAAGGCGATAGAAGGAAAAGTTTGAATCTAAGCCCGAGAGGTAGCTTAACAAGACTTTTCGCAATGCATTTTCCCAGGCCCGATTATAATCGGGCCTGTTCCAATAAGAACAAATTCCGGATATTGAACTAGAGATCATTTGTTTTAGAACTATAATTTCTGATACTATTTCATTTGTTTCTACTATTTAATTACGTTTTACACCTTGATAACAAAATTATACACTTGTTATCAATTATTGTTATCTAACCTGAGAAAAGGCCACCTTCTCACACTTGGTTTCTGTTGTCCATATTCCACTAAATGTAACGCTTCCATGCGTTAACATGGGTTTGTCCTGAAACGCTACCCAGTTGATAATTCCAGTGTCATTTGTAGAACCTGTTGCACGCGAGCATAACTGAAATCCTGCTGTACTTATGGACTCTGCCCACACAGCAGAAGGCGAATGAACAACTGAAGACTGATCTTCGTGGCTTAATGACACAAAAACTCGAACCTGACAAGATAAGCATCTGAATGAAAATTTGCAGGCGACAATTCAACCCTAGGTTACGAGCAGTCTCTCTTTTTTCTTCTAACTTGATCAGTACGGAATACATTTAAAGGCAGTTGTGACGTCATGGAGCTATTGTTCTCGAGAAAAATGGCGGATAGATTACCTAAACGACCACAGTCACCGTTTCGAGACTCTCAGGCATATTTGTAAGACTTTTCATGAGGCATACACAATTTTTTCAAGTGGAAAGCGTATCGAAAGCCATATTGGAAGTTTCTCGTGAAATATTCAGCACATTTTGTGCCTTATTTCTTCTTTTAAACAACACGATGTAGGCGAGATTTTGGTCGGTTTTCAAGGTAGGTGAACAAGTATCTATAATTTTTTTCGATTTACAGATTTTTACGAAGTTCTAGATATTTTTCCTCAATTGTCATATCCATTAACGTTTATCACGTTGAATGTGGGGATAGTAGACAACCTAGAAGAGGGTCTGGATTGGGTTAACTGACGACTGACAACTCATAAATAGCCGAAAATTTAACTGACTACTGACATTTGCCTTGGGTTTTACTGTCAACTGACAAAGGACCTGCTTGTCCCTTATTTTCTACAAAAACTTGTTCTTAAGGCCTTGAATAGCATTGTTCCACTCTTTTCATCGTATAATGTGATCAAATGAGCGTTTTTAGGCGTAATCTTAGCAGCAAGATGCTTAAAATCTCATGTGTGTCATGTACCATCTGCAAATGACCTATGATTTCAAATTTACGTTTCTCTGAGAACGCACCAGCATACGATGGCTGCTCAGAATGAGGGCATTACAAAGGCAATTGCAGGGTTTTACTGAGATGATTCAGAGACGGTTTTCTTGGTCTTCTTACGATCTACGTCCCAATATTATACCTGCCTGAGTCAAATGCGTGAGATTTTCACCTTGTCATAACCAAGATTTCACGAAACGTCCCGGCGACTTCCAAAGATTTCCGACGAATTACCGAAGACTTCCGAACGTTGCCGAAAGTTAAATGTCCTCAAATGTGCTAGAAGACCTGACGTTTGAGCACTTTCGAAGCTACTTAAAAGACGACACTTTTAGCGTGCTTTGATATGATTTCGTTAGAACACAAAAAAGGACACAGTCATCATGTGCTAAGAACAATTTGTCCGTATTTGAGAGTCAGATGTGAGAAATTGTCCTTGATGCGTGAGATCGAACGTGTTCCACTCCCAGGTTTCACACAGACATGGAAGAGCCGTGTTACTACTTTTTTTCGCATTAATTCGAGCCTTTGCCTTTTTTCTTTTCAAGGCCAAAACAACTTTATTAGTCTTATGGATATTCACGTCCAACATGCATCTCGCCTCACTTTGCCGAATTTGCGGGGATAAAATTAAAGATCATAAGCGCAAGGTAGTTATTAAACGCTTTGTTTCTGAAATTCACCAAATCAGGAAAGATTTATTGTTGTTGGATTCTCCAAATGTTCATCCACAGTTAAAAAAATCAAAGAAAGAAGACAAATTTCAACTGTAAATGATGTAATTCGCTACACATTAAACATGCACTGATTATCTGGGATGAAATTAAAACATTGCAGGTACGACAACAAGCAAAGAAAGCACCAGATGCGGGAAGTCAACACGAAACAACACAAAAAAACAAAAGGGAAAATTAATAAATTTGAACTACTTCTTATTCTTGTTATCATGACTGGTTCTTTGATTCTTGTTCTGTAGAAGTTAATAGGTAGTACCATTCCTGTTTTGTACGATCTCAACAAATTTTCAAGTTTGCTTCTATCAAAAATCTTGCAAGCCAAGTCAGTGAAGCCACGACCTCTGCGATCGGTCCAGAATCAGTTCGAACACCCCAATGATTCCTTGCAATGAATAATACTCTTATTCTCTTACATCAATTGTTTTCTTTGAAATAATGTGAAACCTAGCCGAGTATTGTAAGCTTATCCAGGTTATGGGCCCCTGGCTTATCTTAAAATCTGTCCGACTCTGCCCGCTGTTGTGAAAATTTTTGATCACTTGGTCGATGTTTTGATAAACACAAGCCCACCTTCTACTTGGTTGAACAGTGTCGCGTGACCATTTGGCCCTGTCCTTAAACTTAGGGATATTCCCGACTGTTGATCTGTCTGTCGTGCGAAACGAGCGAGAAACGAAAATGACCACGCGCGTGACTGAAGGGGCGAGACTGCCGCCCTCGTTTCTCGCCTGCGTCTGGTGGTTTCAATGCTCGTGCGCGTGTGCACTCCTCACACTAAATCTGAAGAAAAAGAGGATCTAATTCAACCCTCCATTCCCGGCCCCATTCCAAGGATTAAAGATCTTCTAGCCTATTTTTATTGTCAGAATTCTCTGGATTTTTTGTTTTGTCTTGTTTTGTTCTGTTTGAGAACACTCGCATCCTAGGGATTAGGGAGCACTTGAGCACACCTATGCGCACTAAATTGTCTGAGGTCATAACATTACAAAGGCCGCTATGCTGGCAAATCAAAATTTGTTAAAAACATTAGTTTCTAGAGAAGCTTATTGTGTTCTGCTAACACATGAAAGTTGCCACCAACCCTTAAGATTAGACTACTGTATATCCTCGAAAAATAGCCGTCCCTCGATTAATCGCCTCCCTCAAATAATCGCCCCTAACCCCCACCCTTCTCGCTATCTTCTCTTTCTTTACCCCCTCCCTGTCGAGTTAAAAAAACAAACAAAGCTGAAGTGGAATCTCATCCAGCAAAACTGATCAGTGACGATTCAAGCTCTAACGCCAAGGATATTGAAACCGAAAAATAACCAAGGAACAGGATTGCTCCTGACAAGGAACCATCTTCTGAAAACTTATAAAGTCCATGTTTAGTATATTTTGATGTGATTATTTCTATATTTTTATTTAACGGGTAACAAAATAAAATATTTAGGGATCGACTTCCAGTGACCAATATTTGAAATAATCGCCTCCCTCGAATAATCGCTCGAGGCTATTATTTGAAGAAATACGGTAATTTTTAATTGCTTAGTGTTTACTTACTGTTCCAGATCCACTAAACGTTTGCGGAAATATCACGTTAGTGCAGCGTGGCAGTGTACAATGTTGTGGCGCCTCACATCCACTGTTGCAATTCCATCCTTGACGTGTCTCTGATGCGTTCAGTTTTCCAACCTGATAGGAAATGCCTGTAAAATAGAAAAAAAATGTCTCAATGTAGTGTAGGTATGGGATGGAACGAGACGGAGTGTTGGTAGAAAAGAAATGAAGAGAGGCTAGGGGTGTGTCTGTGTTTATTTGAAAGGCGAGGAGAGATAAACAACTTTCGTGTGTTATTAAAATGTGAGGACAGAAAATTAATTCTTCTTCATTTAGTGAAGTTCAGTTTGAAAGAAATATAGTTAAATATCACAAAAAGCTGTTCTTTTGCAAGGGCTTTGTGACTTTTCTTTTCATTTAAATAGCGCTGTAAAAACGTAGCTTGGCCTACGGTTCATGTCTAGAGGGTAATAAGCGACTCTACTTTGGCGTCATAGGGAAAAGAAATATGCGCTTAAAAAACGTAGCCTAGCATTTTTTCACTTTTCATTTCCAGGCGAGGTGTAAAATCTTTGCCTTGTCGTTATGTGAAGAAAATTTAGGAAGAAGAAGTTTATATATACAGATAATTTTCATTTCAATTACTCAGCATCAAGGGGGGGAGGGAAAGTAACTCTATTGTTTTATTCCTAAGTTTCTTGACCCACTCTGCCTGCCAGTATGACGTCACAGAGTAACGGGCAAGAGCCTTGGGTCGCTTGTGCAAATTAGCAATGGATACGACAGTTATTAGCACGAGCGAGGTCGAGGAAAAGCTAAGAAGCTATCAGATATCGCTATATATCGCTAATTTGATCGAATGTGTGTGAGCTTTGGTGTTGCTATAATCTGCTTGTTTAAACCGTTTTGATATTTTGTGTCGGTAAAAACCACAGTACTGTTTGTCCATCAATATGGTACCGACACTGCCCTTAGCTCATACACTAATTGTATAATTTTGTTAATTTGTTTTGCGGGCCGTGCTGAGGGATCGCCGTCTTTTTTATGGGACCGGTAAGGTCATCAAAACTTAAATCTCTTTTTTCTCTAAAATGGGCAAGGTCTAGTCTCCAGAATAGGAGGTTCCATTCACAGATCACACATATCAGTAATCGGCTCCTGACATATTAATATTTCATCTATTCTTTTGCTAATTAAACGGGCCTCACCTCATGTCAATCCTTTCGAGTGCGGGCTTCGAAATACGCGCTTAAGCTAATTTTCTTCAAATCAATGTATATTTGAATTCATCATAATTACAGCTCCCCCAGCTTGAAACAGCGTCGATGTTAGGCTAAAAAATGGTTTCTAAAACATGTGTGTCACTGTGGTGCAGTAGTCAAGGAGTTGCTCGTACGTGCAGATATACCGGGTTCGACTCCCGGCGACGCTGTTTTCTGTTTGTTTGTACCGTGTTTATTTTTTTTTCTGTTTAGTCTTGGTTTTTCCTTTTCGCCTGTTTTTCTTTATTCTTACTGCTGACCTTGCTGGTCATGCACTTGGATCAATATATATTTTAAGCTTAAGTCCGGAGTATTATTTTGGAAAAGGAATTTCAAGAGTTCTTGATCTGCATACTGGCCAAGCTTACGGCCAGAAAAAACTACAAGCTGTCAACTTATGTCCCCTCTCCTCTCAAACAGCTGATTTTTTTCAATGTTACTTGACATCATGACAAACAACACAAAGTACACCACAAGACTGTACTAGTTTACACCCAACAACCACCGGTGATCTACTGGCGAAATTTAGACCTGCCTTTTGCACATCGTCTTAATTATCAATATATTACCCTAAAATCTCCACTGGGTTTGGCCCCAAAAAATAATTAAAAGAACCCTTTTATTGGTTTTCGGGATTTAATTACAGAATTACAGGTGTATGCCCAGTACAGTATGAAAATATGTTAAAGCAACAAGATTCAACGCTCACGGTCTCTCAAAAATATCTGTCATGTAGCTTCCTCTTTCAACGCTACAGCTAAGCGAACTTTGAAAGGATTGATATGGGGTTCCACTAGCTGTGAACAGCTGAAAATACGCACAATGTAAAGTATAATTGATCCTTTGATGAACTTCCTACTGCTGTGTCTAAATTCCTCAATCTTGCTGTGCACTGGCCCTCAAAAATGTGACCGGTCCGTATGATTGCTCGTAAAATTTGCTCAACGATAGAAAGGAATCTTTAAAATTTCTTACACCAGTGGACGTTTCATTCCAAAAAAGTCCAGTTTTCTATGACAAGAGGGACCTTAAAATCTCCAAATCCAAGAAATCGGAACAGTAATTCCGTGATAAATTCGAAATTTTTATCTGTCTCTTCGATGAACACTTTGCTCGCCATTTTGAAAGTCACTGGCGCGAGATGTGTGACGTCATATTGGCAGGCGGACTGAACCACCGATTTCCTTGGTCACCCCCCCCCCCCCCCCTTAATGCTCATGCTTTTCTGAAATTGTACTGAACAATTTGGCGAATGGCATTCTCGCCTTGGAGGTAAGTGTCTTTATGCAAATTTTGATATCATCTAGTTTTTATATTGTTTTTGCTTTACCTTTATCATCATATTTCAATGTTTCACTCTTGATTTGGACAATATTTGATAAAGATCGCGGCGGTCCAAATGGCAAACTCGGACAATAGCTACTGTAATAACTCTCTTTAGATTTGTTTTAAGTCCAATTTTATCTCCCCTAGCTCCTTTTTCGTTCATGTTCAGTTACTCCACTTGTTGAGAGCAACTCTAAATACCTAGATTAATCAAATTACCGTTTTGCTACGCGCGCGCACGCAATGTGTCGAGTAAGCTCGGTTCCTTGCACCAAAAGGGTAGCCCGCGAATGACAGTCATCTCTGATTGGATTAAAACAGAGCTGCACGGATTAGGAAATATGAACGTCGGTAGAAGCGCGGAAATGACTGATTCCAAAATAGGAAAATCAAAGAATAAAAACTCGTTTAAGGTTTTCTGTAAAAGGTGGTTTGATGAACTGCCAGATATCACTATGGTCTTCAAAAGTTTGAAATGGATTAAAACTTTCTCGTTGCATCAGAATGTGGGTGTGGAGTGTAAGGGGCAGGTTTATTTTCAGAGATCTCACCCCACTATCAAAATCTTATGTTCTAGATTTGAAATCTTCACACTGTAGGTCTTTTGGGGATATGAAATATCGTATCAAGAATCAATCACCTGTCTGTGTTTAAAATTTTGTTTCGTTTTCCTTCAATCCAAGTGGTAGCCCGCTGACGGGAACAGACTGTACTATTTTGGAGAACCGAGTTACAACAAACAAATTAGTCCATCGAAAACTTTGTAATATAATCATTTTCTCGAGATCGTGGAATGTATAGAAACTGGCACATTAAATGAGATGGAAAAATTCATCGATCAGAGACTTGGACCGTACTCTAGTCGCAAGCTCGAGCACTGAGTTAGTCACTTAAACGAGAGGGAGGGACTTGTTGTGTTCTCCAAAGTTGTAAATCAGAAGAACTAAGAAATTAAAAAATATTAGCTGTCAGACCTTCTGTCTTTATATGAGGTCTAAATAAGTACATGTCGCGTTCCTTAAAAAATAAATAACAAAATAAAAAGTCTTCGACCGAGATGAACTGCTTTTCAGGAATTGAAATTTTAGCAATTTTCAACTATGTTACAAGGAAAAAGGTAATATTTGCCTATTGTTAGGTATAAGAACGTACAAATGCTGATTACAACAGCCTACGATGAAAAGAAGAGTGGCATACCTTTTACAGTTAGAGGGAGAATCCCCAGGTTTAGGACAAAGACAAAAGGTGCAAATTTTCTGAGGTCCATCTGGCTGCTAAACCTAGATGTAATGGCCTGTCGACATCTGGATGAGTTGTTTTATAGCGGTACAAACGTTTCCTCGGCTCAGATTTGACAAGTCAGCCATGTATACCAAATCCTCTTAACAAGTAAAAACAAGCTGATTGGGTAGTGAAAGTGCAATATGATGCAAATTTTAAATTCCTTTTTCACAGTTGATGGTTTGAGCTTGGGAGTCATTTCAAACGTAGGTGGAATGTGATCGTCTGGGTTGTGTGGGAGTCTGAGTCTTGAATAGGGTTGTTGTTGAGACGTTAAACCGACGTGTACTTAATCATATGTTATGCTTTAATAGAGCGAATTTCATGTCTTGCATATTAACAAGAAGAACAAAAGGACTCGCGAACAGCTACTTCTGCCAAGTATTTCATCACTAGATTCAAACTAATGAAAACCGACTGTCTTATGGAGCTCTGGGCACACTGTTAGAATCACGCTGTCCGGCACTTCAGCTAATTTTTATTGATTTCATATACTATGTAAATTTAAGAGACAAAGGCACGCTTTCAGGAGCTCAACAAAAGAAGTGTCGCTTTGGTCCCAGAGTGCAGTGCGAGAGACGGCCCTGTCTGTGGAAATAGTTTATGAAAATATTTTAAGGGCAACTCCTTCTAAAGCAGCTTAAAAATGTTTCTACGATTAACAGTAATTGTAGATATTTGTAAGAGCAACGTTTATCTAAAGTTTGTTGCCAAAACTCTAGTTGTTTACCCTGCATAGGGGCAGTTTAGCCGGTCAAACTTGAGATATGACCCTCTTGGCAAAGGGAAGCTAATTTTATCCTTTCTATATGCATGCGGTATTCCACGTACTAAGTCTTAAAAGACTTTATCACCACCCACACAGGCACTACGTTTCCTGAAAGGCCAGAAAACCAGTGGATTCTGGAAACTGTTATTAGATAAATCCTCAACTCTTTTCTTGGTCATTCAATGCTATCGTTGCCAACGCACTCGTTGTTTCGTGGTTTAACTTGTTAAATGATTCAGTGATGATAATTCTTTTAGAGAAAACTGTCACTTCTTTCCGAAAGCCAAATAAATGTTAAGGGTTTTTGGTGACGATCTGCGGTAGGTATGCATGGATTATGTCAAGAAAACGTCCGCTTGCTGCACGCAATCCCTTTCATGGAACATTCAGGAAGTATTCTTTCTGCGGCATTGAAACAGTCAGTAAAGGGTAAGCTGATAGTCCACAGTACGAAACGTGCATCTGATTTTCCGACGTTATAGAAGAAGATCTAAAACAGTCATTAAGCAGAAGCAGCTAACAATAGTTCAGGGTTTTTTTGTGTTCTTAGAGGAATATGTCATATTTGCGTGCAGTCTGTATCAGGTGTAAGCCAATGTACACAACCGCAACCTTTTCGAAACCACGTGCACTTAAAAGTAGAAAGGCTTACTTAGAATAAACCCCCTGATCCTACATTCCATGGCATTCTACTTTGAACTTCCGCATATCAAAGGAGTGAACTGCAAGCACTGCAGTCAAACTTAACAAAATAAGTTAACAAAATAAGCGATAACGTCTTCTCAGTCAAAGCTAAAACCGCCTTTGCGAGTATCGGATATTCAGGGATGTTAGTGCTCCCTAAAATCCACTAGTAAGTTTTAACAGAGGTTAAGCATCAAGTTTATGCCAAAACGCGAATTTATACCACGTGACTAAGTTTCCCCTTTACTTGTCGTTTACTGTTCATTATATCTACACAAATGTTGGTAGTCTCATGCAATTTTCTATCCATTAGATTAATTAGAATTTTTTTGAGCTGTTTTTATCCGTTCACCTTCACCTTTTGAGAAATTCTCAACTTGATATGGCGTTTGCCGTCCCTATGTCACTTTAGACTTTTCTCCCACACGAAATTAGAAGAATCTAACCGCACCGACAATTTTTTCTTGCGAAATCAGAGAGCGCAATAAACAAACCCACACACAAAATCCAGATTGAAGACAAATGTTCTTGCATTTTTGGGTGCAAGCCAAAGTAAGAAGTACAGAAGTTAATGCTTTTTTAAATCTTTATTCACCGTGCTCAATGGAGCAGTGGCAGCAGTTTTTATTCCGCTTGTTGATATCTTTAACCAATTTTAGAACACATAATAAATCAATGGCTATAATCAAGGTCCTGTGTGTCATTTTTCCCCATTACAAGTTATAACCTGTGTTTCTGTCCTTACAAAATATGAGCTTGTTTGATATGCCTATATCATAATGTCCATCAATTACGTAACTCTCTAATGAACCTCCTATTAAATAATGACAACAATTTTAACTTAGATAGTATAGTATCGTAATCATCATCAGACTTAGTAATCCATCTGGTGGCTCTTCGCTGTACAGCCTCTAATTTATCAATGTTACGTTTAGTATGAGGCTTCCAAGTTTTCCTTGAATATTCTAACAAAGGTCTCACAAGACTACGGTAAAGTGTTTTCATAGTATCAATGTCCTTTAAGTCCCTGCAGGTCCTTTGAACCAACCCTAAAACCCCATCAGCCTAAGCAGTTATTAGTTATCAACTTGTTGGTTTCATGAGAGGTCACCAGCAGTAAACAATCCTAAATCTTCACATTAACACTTTCCAAAGGTTGACTTTCGATATTATATTTTCTTCATGTCGTCACATTTGCTTGCAGTCTGTGTGAGGTGCAAGCCAATGTACACAACGGCAACCTTTTAGAAACAACTTAAAAATAGAGGGGCTTAATCCCCTACGTGTAGTCTGCGTGGCAGCTTTAAAAGGGAAAGAAGAACGGGGGAATTGGGTGCGTGAGAGCGCAAAGGGGCGCGCGAGGAGGGGGAAAAATGGGAAAAGAGGGGAAAAGGTTCCCGTTTTCAACATCCTCGCGCGCCAGAATTCCTGCTTCCCCTTCCCCTTTTAACACCTGCTTCGCAGGCTACCCCCCTTAGTGAAATCCTGCATTTCAACTTCCGCATGTCAAGTGAATAAACTTCACACTGTCAGGCTTTAAATGAAAACATATGTGGGAGTTAACATCTCATAGCTAACCTTGCACACATTGGAAGTCCAGTTTCAGACTTTTCAATCCAACATGTACACGATATTCGGAGAATCTAGCCACACATGTAGTAAAAAAGTAAAACTCAGGAGTAAATCATTTTATTTTCCCGGTTAGACTTAATTCGACAAGATCTTTTCATTCTGCAGCTTTTCTTACCGAGGTACATCTTAATACCGCTTAATCGACGATTAAGCAGTCTTTAGACTGAAGGAATCACGCTCCCAAGAATTAGCAGAGGAGACCTGAAAATTAGAAAACTACCTCAAACAGTTGTTTTTCACATTTAAATGGTCTTATTGATCCTTTATTTTAGGTCATGTATGTTGTATGCAAGTTTTATGCGCGACCAGCGAAAATATTTGACTGATGACAACACTGCTAAAGCTCTCTTACGCTGTTTTCAGGTCGCCTAAGTGTCTAACACTTATTAAAGTGAAAGCAAAATGTGAAGTCCCATCACGATAACGATAACCTGTTAGAGCGAAAAACGAGAGTGAAGAGGTGGCCGGCTTACGTTATTTAGGTGGGCTGAATTTCTCTTTTCGGGCAACTTTTTTTTTATAAAGGTGGTTGATCAGGATCTTAACACATTTATTTCCTTATAAGACGATACGCCGAGACACGCAAAAGGCATTTCCTCGTTATTTGCTAAGTGGTTTATACCTATCCAGTCCTTTAAGGTTAATTATCGAATGTGAGGTATAAGCTCCTAGTCGAGACAATAAGTCTGGTCAGATTTAAAAATGCATACAAAATGTACATTCTCCTAGCTGGTCATTAAATAACGTATTATCATTCACGTATAGAAGCTTCTCCTAACCATGCAGGTTCAGAACTGCTTAACTAGTACAAAGAAAACAACAACAACAACAGCAAAACAGGATTAACACTAGTAGGAGCATCATGCATGCAGTCAACGTTTTCTAAGAGGAACCTTTGGGGCGCGCACTGAGTGTCCGTCTTATAAACAGTCAAATAAAGGGATCAGAGAAAGGAAAGGAACAACTGTAGATGTCCGTTTTACCGAGATACCCGTCTTATAGAAAATTCCCTTAAGAGAGAGTCGACTATACCAGAGACCAGGCGGTGTGCGTCACGACCCACAAAGGTTCATGGGTAAAACTGTTACTGTGCCTCATTTCAATCGTGACACGGTCGAGTTCGCATCTCGTAAGAGAAGTGAATCAAACCCAGGGATCAAAACACTGCTACCTTTTCCGAAAATCATTACGGAAGAGAGCGATTTCGAGAATTTTCAAGATCTCATAGTGGCCTTAGATGCTTGCTATTGGCTTCATAAGGCAATTTCAAGAAGTTTATCGCGGTTCGGAGATGATCGTGCGATCTAGCCGACTTTGAGCGGCGACTAATTTCCTGCTTCTCATAAGATTTTATGTACTGTTTGGTTTATATGTATGTTTTATCTCATAGTGAAAGAGATCTGTAGTCCATACCTGGATTTGCTTAACTAAAAAAAATTCGTCCATTAGAAGTGTTTATATATTTGATGGACTTTGTTACCGGCAAAGCAGGAGGAGTGCGTGCAAACAGCTAGGTGAGAAATCGTCTCTCATAACAAATTTATTTTCATCGACAAGTTTATATTATTTTGAAAACAGTGCCCGTTTGAAATCCTTATGCGCAAATAAATCTTCTATCAGGCAAGGAGAAAACAGACCGAAAGAGCCGAACATACAGCCGCAGAAATAAACAGTAAAATAAACCACGATCTTGTCTGTGCGGTCATTGAAGTGAGCGCAGTATATCGATTTTGTTATAAAGTAAAACCTAACCTCACAGTTTTAAAATCCTGTATGATGTTGTCTGGATCTTCGATAATGGTTTTGTGTTTTGGTAGAGATTTATAACAATTTATTCCCTAACATAACTTTACACGAAGATTTGCATACACGTAGCACACACCGCATGCAAATTATTTTAAAGTCACGCTT